ATTTTATAATTAGTTTAATAATTATGACATGAACTTATTTTTAATAACTCAAAAATATTTAATAAATTAAATTAAATTTTTAATTACTAAGTTTTATTTCAATTTGAAGTCTTACTTTTTTAGATTGCATAGAAGTACACCAAATAACCTCCATCAGCATCATTTTAATTACTTATTGGTAATATTCATTTAAAAAATTTATTTATATTGCTATACCTTAACAGTCAATATATTAAATCCACTAATTAAATGCTTGCTTTATTTGTAAAAATATTTATTTTCTTGTATAATATTTGTTATAAGATACTTTAAAAAAAATATTTACCAAAACTAAGGATTTTTTAAATTGAATTACATTCAGTGCATATAATACAAAAATGATATTAACTTTCAATAGTTAATTAAAAAAAGTACAAATTTATGATATTTTTAAAAACATTCTGAAATAATAATGTTTAATGAGAATTTATTATTAACATTTTTGAAATTTTAAACCTCATCATAAAATCTATTAGACTAATATTACAAATATTCTTCAAGAAGATTACGTCAGAGATTTTCTCTTTTAGTATATTACGATATTCATAGAAAACTACTTGAATTTGAAAATAGATTTTGATTTTCTATATCATAATTATTTTTATTTATGTTAAATTATAGTGAGTTCGATGGCTTTCTTGGTCGTGGGTTATTCGACTGATGGAGCAACAAACCTTATGCAACTGATAGGATATCGCCTTCAGAATTTTTGAATAATTGAATAATCCCTAACCATATAATGCTGCTTGTATGGTAAAGGGTTAATACCACAATTAATAAATAAAATGACTAATTCTGGTAGAAATTCATTACCGTATATGAAAACAATGAGTGAAAGACGAGTTCAAGTGGAACGGAAAACCGACTGGTCTCTACCGTATATACTTGTAGTGATTAGGAAGCACCTCTAGTAAAACTATATCTTCTGTATGATCAAGGATTTTTCCATTGAATCTCAAAAATGAAATTTTCATTTATTATTATTATTACAAAAAACCATAATCTTTCCAATTAGGAATTAAAAGTGAGGAAAATTTCATAATTATAATATGAACAAAAAAGGATTATCAAATTTTTTAAGGTACTGAAGAGAAAACAAAATGAAAAAAAATTTAGTAAAAAATAAATCAAATGCTTTGATAAGAAATAAGTCACTTTATTCTTTTTAACCACTTATAAATCATTTAGATTGAAAAATAATGTAATTTATATATTTTATCTTTGTAATTCAAAAATTAAAAAGCATGTGGGGAATTTAATTTTTATAGATTATGTCTATGGTCAGCTGCACATTAAGTCGTAGATTCATAAAAAAAATAAGCATATAGAGCCGCAGATTATCAAGTGAGTAAGAAATATTGAGATTAGAATTTTAAAAATTGAAGAAAATGCTATCAAAGAAACAACAATTTAGTGTGTTATACTTTTAATAAAACAATTTTGTTCTACATTCTTAAGTTTTTGTTATAAATCCCATCCATTTATTCTGCTTATTTTATATATCTATGGAGTCTTAAATGAGAAATAAGATTATGATGTTCTAAGCATAAGTAATTAATAGAACTATAATGAAGATAGAGCTATTCAATCTTAGAATATTTTATTCGATTTTACAAGAATTCTGGTAATCAACTTGTGTTTTTCAACTAAGCTCATTGATGAGAAGGATGCATGATGCATTTGGAGACATATTAATGTACTCAGAATTATTGGATTCAATTATAGTTAAAATTAAAAATTCGTGAATTTCTCATTAATTTTTCAACTCTGCTTAAATAGTAATGATTTTACTATTTATTTTAGAGAAAATATGATCTCCATTCATATGCTTAAACTCAACTATAAATTAGATATTCATTCATAAATATCTATCAATCCATTCTTTAATTAATCTATATTTTATTATGTCAAAAATCTCTTCTATAATTGCTATAAAGAGATTTTTTTTTATTAAGGTTGTAATTTAACTTTCAATTAATCAAACTCAAATTTTCGACAGAGTTATTCATTAGGATTAATGTATTTATTAATTTTTATTTGTTATATCTTCCAATACTCCTTATATAACCTAAATAAAAAATCTAATATTTTTGTTTTTTTTGATAAGTTATAAATTACACTCCTGATTTATTTTATTTAAAATATTCTTTAATTCTTTTGATTTTCAAAATTTTTTTACTCAAAATAGCAATTAACAGTTTTTTTAGATTTATTCAATTAAGTTGCATATGAAAATATACACTCAAATCGATTTTCTGCTCTATCAACATATAATATAGACCCAAAGAAAAAAAATTACAATTAGTGGGACTACTGTTAATAGCAGTTAATGGTTTGGAAAAGTGGTGAATTTTTATAAGAATTAAGAACGTTTTCATATGAAAACAATTGATGTGATCATTAATTTTAATAAATTTAAACGGTGACATTAAAAATTGAAATGCTCTCATAAAATGCCAAAGAATAATAGTACTATATATCTAATTAAGAGATTCAACTTACTCTTTTAATAGATCTTAAATCTGATTAATTTTTAAATATTAACATTTAATATATTAAAACATTATCTATTATATTTAAATGAGATGCACTAGGAGTAAATAAGTATAATCAATAAATATGATAAATAGATTTTTCTTATCCTTGATTTTATTCATAAGAGGAATATTTCATTAGATATTCTTATTTAAACGTCCATGAAATTTTCTTAATATATAATATGTACAATTATGTACTCTTTAAAACTTTCGATACAAATTCAATTCTGAACAACCATTATAATTTGGTACAAAAATACTATAATTATTATTATATGATTCGTAATACAATTATTCATGAAACTGAAACGATTTTCTCATCAATTATTTTCTTTGCTAGACCCCCGCCCGATATATTTAATGATTTTAATTCATAAACCTTTTTCATAGGTAATTAGATTCATTAGAAATTTATAAAATAAAATTGTTTAAGCATTTTTTTTAAAAGAAATAGAATAATTTAATATAGGATTTAGGACTGATCTGCTTGTTTTATGTTTCTTTGTTGTTATATTAAATAAAAAAAAAATATATGGATTAAAATTCTTAGCTTTTTTAATTCAAAAAAGAGAGAACTGTTTTAGCAATTTATCAAACTTTCCTACCCTTAGCCTAATTCAACAATAATAATTTACAATCTTTTCATTTAGGTTAAGGAGCTGGAAGAATTACACTTAATTGGTAATATATTAAAAATATATATAAAAAATGTTTAAGAATAACATTTGAAATCTATAATAAAATTCCTCTTTAATAAAAATATTCAAAATTTAAGATGGAATATTGTTATTAAAGCTATATGGCTAATATTTACATTTACTTTTTTGATTTATTTAACTTTTGAAAATTTTCACCGCAAATTCTTTAAGGAGTAGAATGCTCTTTATTTATTGAAACGTAATCGAAAATTCAGCTATTATATTTAATTTAAAAAATTAAATAACGTGGCCAGAGGAGATAGTCCGAAGAACCCTAGAAGGGGAGACAAAAAGCAGCCCAGCACATGAGCTACTTCTGAAAAACCACCCCAAGAAAGTAGGGCCCTTGCAGAGCTCTATATGAG